CCCTGGGGACGCTCCGCCAGCGCGGCCGCGCAGGGGGAAGGTCACCTCCCGCGGCCCCGGGCTGAAGCAGGGCCGTTGTCTTTCTAGCTATGACATGGTGCACTATGGCCACTCCAACCAGCTGCGCCAGGCTCGGGCCATGGGAGATTACCTGATTGTTGGAGTCCACACCGATGGTAAGAGGTTCTCTCAGCTTTTAACCTCCTGCTGCCTCTAGAATCGCCCAGCAGCGTTAGCCCCGAGAACGGAGGTGCCCTGTAAGACAGAGCAGGCTTCCTGCATCTCCTCGAGGAGCAGCAGCCTCCAAAAGAAAAGCATCTTCCCTGGGTGAGGGAGTGCAGTCGCCTGTTTCGGTTTCAGGAGTTCGGGTGAGGTCATTCAGGGCTTGCAGGCTTCATTTGAGGGGTGATCTGTGCTCTGTGCTGCAAAAACAATAGAACCCATTGAAAATCCATCTGGTTTTGCTGGTGCAAACTGTAGAACGGATACTCCAAACCACATTACTGTGCGGAGAAAACCCGTTTCAAGCCTGTCTGAAAGTGAAGTGCCAGGAACTAGTTCTTGCCTGTGAAGATGGATTTTTAAATTGGTTTATGGTGCATGTTTTCTGGCATGAACCGAGCGTAGCATGAAGCGTGAAGCTGTTGTTTAAAAGGGGAGTTTCCCCTCAGGGGCTGCCAGAAGGCTCAGGTAGTCCCCCCAAGAGGAAGCATCTGGGTCCAGGGAGGCACTGAGACCCTTTGCCTTCCGAGTGAATTCCAGGGCTCTTGTCACACATGTAAGAAATGCAACTGAATTAAAGTCTCTTCTGATCGAACTGGGGCTTCCTTCTCTACCACAAACAATCCCGGGCAGAGTTCAGGCCACGGTGAAGTTCACCTGCCTGTGAGATGAGCGAGGCTCCTGTAGGTGAGAATCTTCCTGGCTGCCGTACCTGCTTCTAACTGGGTTTTTCTGTTTCTTGCCCAGAGGAGATTGCCAAACACAAGGGCCCCCCTGTCTTTACACAGGAGGAGAGGTACAAAATGGTGCAAGCCATCAAGTGGGTGGATGAGATTGCTCCAGGAGCTCCGTATGTCACCACACTGGAAACCCTGGACAAATACAACTGTGACTTCTGTGTGCATGGTGGTGAGTGGTTCTGAGGTGATAGTTGTATTAATGCAGCTCCCTGGGACTCGTGTGCTCTTGCTTTCCCTGCTGCAAACTGAGGAACGTTCTGGCCAGTGCTGGCCTTCAGCGGATACCTCGGTGCAGAGGTCTGCCTCACCAGCCCCTGCGCTGGGCAGTCTGGCTGCTCCTGGTCTGGTGTTCTGGAGAAGACATCTGTGTGCTAGGCACCCTAAGAGTGGCTGGATCCCTTGGTTTGAAGCATCCCTTTAACTTAGGAAGGTAAAATGCATTGTCTGACAATTTTCCTGAGGTTGCCCTTACCACTAGTGGAAATTTGTGCATGGGGGAAATAGCAATTTACAAAACTTAAATATGAAAAAAGCTGTTAAAAAGGTAAGTGTGCAGAAATACAATCATGTTTATATCTACTTATCCTGGGATGAGATCAGATCTGAAAAGCTTCTCCCTCTTTATCCAGCTGATAAGCTGTTCAAGGGCTTAGGTGACCGTGCGGTCAGAGACCTAGTTCTTATTATGAACAGTTTTCAGTTTATAGTCACTGACAGGAACCAGTGTTCTGAGGAAACAGAACCTGTGTACGCTGTCCCTTCCTGGGACCACTTCTTGGGTTCACTCAGCCTCAGCCCCTCCAAAGGCATTTCATTAGTTTAATCAGGAGTAGTCTTTGCACTCAACTCGCGTATCCTTTCTCATCTGATCCCAGCCACCTGCTATCGATAAGCCAAGTATTTAATTCAGTGTAAATAAATCATTAATCTCCTATAAGATAGATATGCTTTTTTCACGTGGACAAGGTGATTATCAAATTCCTTGTTAACTTAATTGTCTGCCCTGAACGTGTTTGGTGTGTGTGACCCCTTGCTAGACTTGGTGAGAAATTATGGCCGCAGAGAAGCACTTGTGGCCTTTGCTCCAGTTTCCCTGTGTTTATCCAGATCATTCAGTACTTCTACCTGAATAATACCCTTGCACACTGGGGTTTTGCTAGGCTGTGTTTATGCAAAAGATAAGTTTTGAAATAGCTGAACTTAACTGGGAAGGTGACAGACAGCAAGCCCAATGTTTCTGGCTCTCCTGGCACGCAGAGCTGTGCTTGCAGCATGTTCTGTTCTGTCCCCGCGCCCCGAGGTGCAGGTGTGGGGTCTGAGAACTCCTCAGCTTCCCTCAGCAGCCGCCCGACTGTAAACTGGTTGTTTTGCCAAATGAAAGCCAGCTTTTCACTTGTGAAAATTTTATGCTATCACTAAAAGTAGGTGAGAGGTGTTTTTGTAGAGTGGGTTGGGACCTGTGCCGAAGATGAAGTGGAGTTAATTCTGTAGAAGGCTAGCCTGATGTCACTGTAGAAGTGCCGTCACTGAGGGAAAGAACTGGCTGTTGGAGGACTGCTTAATTGACTGAAAAAGTTGTAACGTGAACCAACGGCTAAAACCAGTCCTAGAAGAGTTAAGATTAAGGCGCTATTTAACACTGAGACGGATGGGAGCTGTTTACTGTCATTCAGACACTAATTCAGTTGTGTTTGCTTCTGGATGCACTGCAAGGGCAACGGTCTCGGGTTTTCTGGACTGTCTGAAAACCAGCAGATCAGATGACTGATGGGGTTTAGCATCCAGGAATATGCTTGTCTCCATGGATCTGGTGGTCTTGCAAAGCCCCGATGTTTCCATGGGATGCAGGAGGGATTTGGATTGCAGGAGCTCTGGTCTGGCGATGTGCTGGACCTGTTCAGCTGCTGCTGTTGTTCTAAAGCAGCTTTTGTGTGGGAAGGCTCGGGGCACAGTTCTGAGGCTTTTATCTCTCTGCAGATGACATCACCTTAACGATAGATGGCAAGGATACCTATGAGGAAGTGAAGACAGCGGGGCGATACAGGTAACCGTTGCTGCTCACCTTCTTAGCCTGTTTTGGGCAGAGTTTCTGGGAGTTCATGCCCTGAAGGGAAGTCAGATGGAACACAGCTATCTTCAGGTCACGCTTTCGTTTTGCTGTCACGTGTGTCAGAGCTTCAGTTGCTCCCACTGTTTTTGCTTCTGGGAAATGTTGTAGACTAGAAACTGACTGGTGGGGCCTTCCCATTCCTGGCAGATGCTAGTTCTGGTCTCGAAGCCTCACTAGGAGTTAGCTCTGTTGGGAAGCCTGTGCAAGGCTCCAAGTTTTCCTCATATAAACAGTTGCTGTGGTGTGAAGAAGATGCAGAGGCTCAGCAAATTAATGCTGTACTTTCTATCAGGAGCAGGTAGAAGGAAGACTTTTCTCAGGTTGGCCCCTGGTTTGGATTTATCAGGTGTCACAGGTGTTCCTGTTATAATGGTGGGAAGAGAAGGAGGCGTATCCTCCTGCGGCTTCTGCTTTATCCTTTGCTTGTCTCACTGCAGGGAATGCAAACGTACCCAAGGTGTGTCCACTACCGACCTCGTTGGCCGCATGCTGCTCATGACTAAGGCTCACCACAGCAACATAGTGAGTCACAGGGCTCTGGGTGGGAGTTTGGAGTCCAGGGCATACGCCAGCTCTTTCCTTTTGCTGTCCCAAATGGCAGTGGAACTCCTGGGTCTGGCTCCTAGGTGCACGGAGGACTGTCAAGCTGATTACGGGCAGTGGTGGCAAAACAACCTGCTTATGTTTGCTTAAGCCTGTCTGAGATCACAGTGTGATCTCAGCCCATGCTGCTTTGGAAAGGTGTGGGGGGATGAAAGGTTCGATCCCTCGCGATTGGTGTGGGCTTCAGGAACATTACGGGAACTATAGACTGGCCTATGGCTTCTCTGAGGGTGAAACTGCCTAGTGCAGCCACGCTGATCTATCAGCCCAGAGCTGCCACTATTGGAAAGTCCTTTTCCTTCCCTCTGAGCTCCATGCTTCTGCCTTCTGCTGTCTTGAGTCTTATCAGACCTTCTTGAGTCTTCTCAACTCAACTAGCTGGTAGATAGCTAACCTAACCGAAGGGAAATAAAGCAAGTAGCTTTATGTTGGTTAATGAGTTGAATTGACTTGGTAAACAAGCAGTCCAGCAAATGGAATCACGTGGATAACAGCAGGGACAAGACAAGGGAACCACAAGAGAATTCAGGGGTAGAGGGAGATCTTTGTGTGCTGAGCTCTTAGACTGGCTTAGCTGTAATATGTACATTCACACCAAGATCTGGCACAGTGCTGCTACCTGTCTGCAGAGATCTGAGCCTGTCTCTCTAGTGGAGTGTCTTTGGAAGGAAGGATGCTCTCCTGCTAGGGGCTTGCGTAGCTGAGAGAGGATGTAGGTGTGGAATGCTGTCAGGTCTGCAGGTTGGGCAAGAACCACCGTCACTGTGTGGTGCCACGCTGGGATCAGATAAGGCCACATTTCATCTGACTCATGCTGGGACACAACTCTGGTTTAGATATTAACTAGTTTGGCAGCATTCAGTGCCAGGGATCAATGGTGTTGCAGTCTGAGCCTGGACGTCCCAGCACTTCTGCCATGCACAGGTGTATTCTTGGTTGGATGAGCTATGTGAGTGCTTAAACATTTTGACTCTTTATCTCCCTTCAGGATGAGGACCTAGACTATCGGAAGCACACTGACAACTTTGGGAAGGTAATGTGAGTTCTGGTTGTGGACGTCTGGTTGTTGTCCTTTCTGAGAAGGATTCAAAATGTGCTTTCTGACCTGTGTTGCAGGCTTGTTTGTTCCCCCAGATTTAGTAGTAACCTCAGTAAATGTCTGCTGCTCCTGTAAAGTAGCTGCCGTCGTCAGTGCCACAGGCAGGTGAGGCCGTGCAGGGCCAGGAGTGAACTGTCCTTCAGTGGTGCCGTAGAGCTGCTGCACCCAGCAAGCCTTTGCTGGGTTTCTGGCTTGCTTGTGAATTCTTTATCACTGCTTCCTTTGGGACCTGAGTGCCCAGAGTTCCAGCCTAGGGACAGCCTCTGTGGACACTCCTTTTAGTGCTCATGTTTTTAAAGGTGTTGCATTAGGTCTGGGAAGCGTTTAAGTATCAGGCACGTAGCTAGCACGCTGTACTGCAGAATTCATGTGCCTGGTCTTCAAGTAGCAGAGCAATTCTCCTAGGGTTCTCTGCCCTCATGTCCAACTCAGCCTTGGGCTACCTCTAAAGAGCTGTTGGCTCCTTTTTTTGCCCTCGGTGTTGGATTGTCCCTGGTTAATGAGCACCTGGACCTACAGCTTGAGTAAGTCTTTACTTCCAGGGGCTTTGCTGACCAGGCTGAATCTTCATCTTTATTCCTCACCTTGTTGGGTTTTTTGTGCAGGCTTTATGGGGCCTGTTGCTCCAGCATGGCTGTTTCCTGATGGTTGGATCTGGGGAGAATATCTGGGCCCCAGGCACCCTGCATGACCCCTGTCAGCTGAGCCCCCCTCTGCATGCTGCCCCTTGTGTGCCTTGCCCTGCTCTGAGCTCAGTTGTCCTTGTTCTGTCAAGTCTTGTAGAGCAGCTGGCTTTGGTGAGTGAATGGGGGAACCAGAGCAGGTGACGCGTTGGCTGTTTCCAAAACTGCCACGTGGTGGGGATAAAGCTCCGTCTTGGGTTTCGCCGGCGCGGGGTCTGGCTCTTGCTGGAGCTCTGGGGGTCCTCTCCCAGCTTGGCCATCCATCGGTGGGTGCATGATGGAGAGGAGACAGGCTGCCTTCAGGCTTGAGAAGAGCGTAGGTGGGTTGTGTGTTGTCTCCTTGGTAAGCCTTGCCTCTCCTGGAAATCTGCAACTGCCCTGTTACCTTCCTCCTTCCTGAGCTTTCTCTCAGCACCTTCTTAGCTGGCTGTTGAGGGCGTGATTTAGACTCTGTTTGGCAAACTGAAAAGGGTTTTGTGAGACTGCATAAATATTTGGTGCCAGGAATGTAGAAAGTCCAAGCTGCTAAGAGTGGTGGTACTTACTAGCCGAGCAAGGCTGGCAAATTGCCTGCAACTGCCTTCTGTGTGTTGTCCAAATCCCCTCCTGGAACCCGAAAAGGAAACGTGTGTGATGTGTGTTTTTTGTCCCAGGGGCCAAAAGGTCACAGTCCCTGGACCGGCGTCTCGCAGTTCCTACAGACATCTCAGAAGATCATCCAGTTTGCATCAGGGAAGGAACCGCAGCCAGGAGACACTGTCATCTACGTGGCTGGAGCCTTTGACCTGTTCCGTATCCTTGACTCTGTTTTGTTGAGAAAGTAGAGTTGGTCTTTTTTTGTTTGATGTGTTCATATTTGTGGCACCAGACTAGGATATTTGCCCTTTTTTTCCCCTCTTCCTTTTTTCTTTTCTGTAGGCTTCCATGTGAGGAAAGGAGACAGGAGTTCTTACCGGCAGTTTCTTAGTAACAGGACACTGAGAAAGGAGCTGCAGCTCCTCTCTAGAGAGATTTGTGGCTGTTGGAGGGTTTCATGAAGACAGATGGATACTCTCCAATCCAGTGATTGCACTCTGGTCCCTCTTGGGGACCAGTTGTTATAGACCAGGTGACTGCACAGGGCAATCTGGAGCAGACGCTTCATCCCTGGGACAGTCTAGGAGGATTGTGCCAGAACACCTGAAACAGGTGCAGATTCTGGACAGAGGCAGAGTTAAGTCCACTTCAGGTGGAGCCGAAGGGATGTCTGGCTTTTGCCCATAACCTGTGGAGTCTGAGGAGGAAGGAGGCAGCTGTTCTTAGGACATAGACAATGAGTAGTGCAAAAATAAAATCCTTAGGATTCCTGTCTCCCACTGTGGTTTCTCAGCGCACCTGTTTCTCTCTTCCTTTACCTATTTGTCATGTTAGCTTCAGTTCCTTAAACAGTTCTGCAGATATTGGGCATGTAGATTTCCTGGAGAAGGTTCACCAGCTGGCAGAGAAACCCTACATCATTGCTGGGCTGCACTTTGATCAGGTCTGTGTATAATTTTGTCCAAAGAGAGAGCAGCTGCCTTGGCCCCTATTCTTTCTAAAACAAGCAGTCTGTGCTCTGGAAGACAGGAAAGGGCCAGTACAGGATTTTCATGTTGGGAGAAAGTGAGAGGGGGGTTGCTTTGTCTCTCTTCTAATCGTGCCTGTTGCTTTGCCTTAGGAAGTAAATCGCTACAAAGGAAAGAACTATCCCATCATGAACATCCATGAGAGAACGCTCAGTGTCTTGGCCTGTAGGGTAAGTGTCTGTAGGGTGGGTGCCTCTGTGCTGTTCCAGAAATTGCCTGGAGCTGGGGGGTGTTTGCCTGCAGCCAGCAATCTTGCATGAGTTCTTTGGTGTGTGCTGGGAAGGCAAAGATAAGTCTGATCACTTCAGGCTGCCAGAGGTGCTGGTGTGCTCTCAGAAGGAGTCACTGGGCTCCTCTATTGTCCTGGCTAACCTGAGCTGTTGAACCCATCCACCTCTTTTCACCTACAGTGAAAAGGCAGGATGCCTTGCAGAGTGCTACTCTGCTCTACAGCTGTGACCTTGTAGAAAACTCTCTGCTCCCTGCAGCAGGGGAGAAAGGAGGCCCAGAAATATGTACCCTGAGTAATGAACTTTTGGATTTCCTATATACTCTCTGCCAGAAAACATATTCTTTAGTGGAACAAAAAGATGCTCTGTGACAAGCAGTGGCTGCTAAAACCACTTTCCTGTTCCCATATTTGAGTTCCTAATCCTATAACCAGATGATCTGCTCAAGTCTGTTTAGGAAGCAGGCTGCTCTCTGTTTTGGTTCTTTTTTTTCAAATCTGGACTCTTTACCTGGTTTCTTTTCCAGTATGTCTCAGAAGTGGTGATTGGAGCCCCCTACGCTGTCACTGCTGATCTGCTGGATCACTTCAGGGTGAGAGTCTTTGCATATAGATGAAGTTGTCGGTGTGTGGGGTGCTTAGGGAGCTAAGGTGGTGCAGGAAAACCCAGGGTGTAGAAGAGAGATGGTCCTGCTCAGAGGGATCACAGGGAGCTCCAGACATGCTGCCAAGCCTGGTGCAGGAAGGGTGGCTTTGCTGATCTCCAAGCTATGCTGCAGTGAGTGCAGTGGCAGGGAAAGTCCCTGTCATCTTTTGGATCTTGTCAGCAACTTCGTGTCCTTCTCCAGGTAATGCTTGTGTGTCATGGGATGACTGAGGTGGTGCCAGACAAGGATGGTTCTGATCCATACGAGGTGAGCTTCTAGCTGCCGTTGTCCCTGTGTCTTTGTCAGCATTTGATAGACACAGCATAGCTTGTTTGTGTCCCTGAGCTGAGAATTTTTGCTGCAGAGGATGCTACCCAAACAAGTTCTTGGCAGGTGATGCTGGTTTTCATCCACCCCTGAGGGTGGCTGCATGGAGCAGAGCCTGTAAATCGTTCAAAAGAACAGCTCCGTCCTTTTAGTCACTGATTTGTTTTGCCTGTTTCTGATGCCTTCGTGGCAGAATTGAGGAATCCTGTCATCTTTGCTCTATAGCAGTCCTGGGCAGCTTGGCTCAGCTCCCACATACGTGAAGCTTTGCTTTTAGTTATTATTTATTCTGCCTCCTAAGAGATAATTTTGTGTCAATCCTGGCTGGGTGCCCACAGGACCTGCCATGTCTTCTGCTCAGCTTTCACTGCTGAGCTGTAAACCCAGAGGTCCTGAATGTTTTCCACAGCTGAGTCTGGTGTGTTTGTTCACAGGAACCAAAGAGACGTGGCATTTTCCAGCTTGTGGACAGTGGCAGCAATCTCACCACAGATTTAATTGTGCAAAGAATCATCAAGAACAGGTTGGCTTTCTTCATCTCTCAGTTCTATCGCATACTGTTCCATCCAGCTTGTCTGAGAACTAATTAATGGGATCAAACAGGAAGAGGAGGGATTATCCGAAGGCACAGAATCAGTGAATTGGTCTTTCATCTTCTGTAGCTTGGGCAGGCTGCTTAAATGTAGATGTACTGGATTGTACAGGAAAAGGAACAGCTAAACTCTTACTACATCAGAATGTGCTTCACAGCACATTTTTATTATTTTTCCTCCTTCTCTATTAATGATACAATTTCCTTTCCATATTATTGGGGATTTAGCATGTTGCTTCTGCTCTTTTAGGCCTGAGCCCTCAGTGACCTTGGCTCAGGTCAGCAGTAAATTTGATTTTGGTATTATGGCACAAGCATGGAATAGCAGCATCATCTGCAGAGGGAGAAATAAGTAGTTTGGCCAGTGTGGGAGCCTGGGACTTCAGCGTGATGATAACAGTCCTGGGAAGCTTTGGGTGCTGGCTCTCAAAGCGGAGTCTCGGGGTTACTGCTGGGGTTTCTGAAGTATTCTCAGAACAAAGCAGTGTAGGGCTGCAGGTGCTTTTAGTCTACTAGAGATGTGGATGGATGAGAACCTCATGGCATTTTTTGACTGATGCAGGCTGGAGTTTGAAGCTCGGAACCAGAAGAAGGAAGCAAAAGAGCTGGCTGTGTTGGAGGCCATGAAGAGACTGGAAGAGGAGAAGCACTAGGCCAGCAGAGAGCCGATGTGCAGGTTGCAGAGCGCTGCAATGTCACCCTCTTGAGGAGCAGACAGCTCTTTGAGAGGGGACCCCTGAAAGGGGACACTGCTGCCAGCATGCAGGATGTGCTGTCCTACCCAATTCTGTCCTAGCTCCTCCTGCACTAATTATGCAGACGTAACGAGTCGGGATCCTGCTGCCTAGTTTTTCCTCCGTTAATCAGCCCCTGTCCCCTTTCCCAGGAGGAGATTTGACAAAAGAAAATGAAACCGGTTTTAATTATAACTAATGTTTAACATGTTGATGTGCTTTTACCTTCTGCCATTTCTGGCTTTTAGTAGGAGGGAATTGGCGCAGCCGCCCAGGCCCCCTTGGCCCCTCCAGGTTCGGCTGTCCTGACTGGAGTCTGCGTTCCAGAGCAGCCCTTTGGGCAGTGCTGAGGGCAGCTGGACAGACTGGCAAGAACGGGGAAGGGATCCAGCACCCGCAGTTCCTCCTGTGAGCGGTCGGCTGGGGACACTGGGCCACGGGTGTGCCAGCTGCTGGAGGTGCCGATGGGTCCCGTGCTCTGGGGTTCCCTGTGCTGCCTCTGTGCGAGTACCAGACCCAAAGCTTCTTTGGGTTTAGTTGGATGAAGCCTCTGCTGCGACTGGTGCCAGCAAATTGTTTCCTGTCCCAGTAATGTGTGGTGGCACAGCAGCTGCCGAGAGGGGCACGTCGCTGGTGGCACAGGGACCCTCAGTTCTGCCATTTCCCTGGCAGGTTGAGGGATGCAGCAGGACCCAGTGCTGGGTGTAGACTGTGCTCGGAGCCCTGCTTGTTGCTGCCACCAGAGTCCACATTGTGCCTGATGTGTTACTGAAGGGAGGGACCTTGTTGGCTGAAATTTCACGGCTGTTTTCTGAGGGCTGGTGTGCAGCACACGTGCCCCTGTGGGGAGGGGTAGGGCCTGAGGAGGACGGGTGCTGGGCTGAGCTCCCTTCTGCCTCTTACATTCCAGGGTGCTGTGGTGGGTGTCCTGGGCCGCCCCCTGCACTGTGCTGGACGGTCCTTCCACACCGGTTCTGTTGTCCTCTCTGTTGTAAACCTTTGTTGCTGATCATTAATAAAATGTTGAAGAGTTGTGTGTTGTTGTTCTCTTTGGGGCTTGAGCCCAGGGAGCAGAAAAGAGCCAGAAGGTCTGATGGGAACTGGGGGGATGCTGCTTTGGCCCCAGAAGGAGCTCGTTGCCCTTGGGCAGCCCAGCTGGAGCTCTGGGGTGCATTGGGTTTGTTCTGGCACAGGGGTTAGGGATCACTCTGGCTAGAAGCTGTTTGTTCTTGCTGTGTGAGGAGGTTTTTGCTGAATTCACTAAAAAATTGAACTAGACCATGTGAAGAGGGCCTTTGCTGTGTTCTGGGGTTTTATGTTTTCTGGTCACTAAAATTGCAGCAGAATTTGCACTGGAAAGGTGTCTCGTCAGTTTGGCAGGTGTGTAGCCATGGTGGGTATGGAGGGAAGAGGTGACTTGAGTTCTGCTGATGGCTTGGTGTATCGTGATGCGAAAGCAGTGCTGGCGAGCAGTCACAGGTCTCTCCTGCTGCCTGGAGAGGAGCTGCAGTGGGGACACATCATCTGTGGAGTTTGGGATCTCACGCCTGTGTAGTTGCTAATCCCAGAGCCTGTGTTTGCATATTGGCATTTCAGTAATAAAGAGAATAGAATATTCATAGAATATGTTCATGTACCATCTTTGACAAGAGCCAAGACACCTATCTGGGTGGGAATGCTCCCTGCCCACACTGGGACTGGAGAAATCAGAGCCTCCTGCCCTCTCCCTGCTGCAGCTGGAGTCCCTCGGGTGCAGGGCTCCAGCCG